GACACCGGGGTTACACCCCTACTCTTTACGAGAAGTGCCATGGGATTTTTAATGACCACAGAGAGTCAGGACCTTTTTGACAGTATAATGTCCCCATCACTATACTGGGGCATTACGACCCACACAGACCACAGGGTGAGCACCGCCTGCTGGCCTCACTAACACCTCTTCCAACAGCTAACTAGTTTTCCCAAGAGGTCTCCCATGAGTCCCATCTAGGTACTGACCAGGCTCAACCCTGCTTAGCTTCAGTTATATATATATATATATATATATATAATTTATTATTTATTTACAAAAATAGTGTAGAATTCTTATAATAATTATTACAGTAGTACTATTAGAATAAGAATTGTAATTATAAACAGAATAAGAATTATATTTATAGATTTCACTATTAACCATAACAGCAATATAATTATCAGCTTATCGCAATTGAAGTTTCAATATATGTGCACCTCTTCCTGGAAAATTGATCAAAAATATGTTCCCCTTTAGTGTGTCTTGCCCAAACTACTTGTTTCAATAGGAAATGCGATGTCAAGTCATTTATTGTGGTGTTTAATGTGGATTTTGTTCATAGAGTTAATGTGGTAGTGGTTAATAATAGAATATGCAGAGGAGGTTTCTCCATTTTAAAATGAAGACCTATTCAAAGTTGTTGACTCGAGGCGAACGAGGACCAAAGGGAGTATAAAATTAAAGACGCAGCATTTTGCATTTTCTGGCCTCAGTCTACTGTAATGAATGAGGTTCCTTCTTCAAGCAGCTGTTCCTGTCTTAGACTATTTAAATGGCTGCGTGGAGAGAGACAAACAGTGCCGTCAGGAGCTTTGAGGAGCAGGTGGAGGAACAAGTTCTCCTGACTCATAAAGCTTTTAGTTTATGTAACAGCATAAAATTTGGTAAACATAGACATTTATTCCCACTAGGTGCCCACTTACCAAGAGGACAGGCGTTGTGCTCTTTTCGGGACTTATCTGCTATGATGCATGTTTTGTAGCTTGTTTAGTTATTGGTAAGTAATATTTGTCATAGAAACACTCACACATTTTGATGCTGTAAAACCTACAGATACAATGACTTAAATCTCATATTGCTATGACCTTGTTTTTTTACTTTATTTCTTTAATCTCATAATGCTAGGCCTTTATTCTCAAATTAGTATGACTCTATTCTCATATTGCTACGACTTCATTCTCAATATGGCTACGATTATATTCTCATAATTTAGATTTTATTCCCAAAATATTATGACTTTAATCTCGTAATCTTACATTTATTGTATTTTATTTTATTTTGCGTGGCAATAGAATGCTGTCGTAGATCTTGCCTGGGTGTTTAACTGCAGAATGTTATTCCTTGCGCAACATGGTGGAAATTGTGTGAAGCACAACAATGTTTTGAAAAAATCTGAAAAAGCGCCTACAGGGAATTCCATGATCACGTGTGACGAATTGCGTGCTGCCGCGTGAAAAGTGCATTCTCTCTGCGCCAATAGCCTTGTGGTTAGCATGCGACATAAAGAGCATCTGCGCACACGGCGAACCGAGTTCGATTCCCGTCTTGAGGACCTTTGCCGGTCCCACTCCCCTCTCTTCACCCAGTGCTTTCCTGTCTGCTCTCTACTATCCTGTCAAATAAAGGCATAAAAAGGCCCAAAAATATAATTTTAAAATGTGCATTCTTAATGGCCACATCTGTATAACAGCCTGCATTTATGACAGATTTGTGGAGCCCTAGGGTCAACATAGTATCTTATGTAAGTGTGAAGGTCCCAGTCTTGATAGGAATGGCATGGTACTTCTGGCATGTGGCGACAACACCCTCAGAGGAGACAAGCTGGTGGGGAATGACAGCTATGTCCTGGCTCCCATGCTCTCCAATCATCATCGTAAAGCCTTCTGGTCAGATGCATGGACACGTCACAGGCCTGCAGACTTTCATTTGGTTGAATGGTTGGCCTACTTCCACCTGTCACAGTTGCTTTAAGGAAGCTAATTAATATTATTAAACAAAATTAGATCATTAATGTCTAAGAAGTTCTTGTAACCCTCAGATATTGCCCTGTTAGATTCGTCAGATTGCGTTCATTTGTGTTAAAGGATTAGTTCATTTAAAAATGAACATTTTGTCATTTCATCAGCAAAATAAGATATTTTCATTGTGTGCTGGTCTGTCTTTTATGAGTATTTTGAGTGTTTCTCTACTTTCTGTACATATGTTTTAAATGTCCACACAATATGAACAATATGTCTTTTGTTTTATCATTTGAAACCCAAAAAGTGTGCTAGTGCTGTCTTTAAAATAAATGTCATTTTTTTTAATTTCATGCAGGTAAAATGAATAGGATTGGGACTCTTAAGTTTAAAAGTATGCAAATAAATAATAAAAGCAGTCTATATAACCTGTGCACAATATTACACATTTTATGAAGCCAAATTATAGATGAACAAATTGAAAATTTTATTTATTTACTTTTTGACTGGAAAATCTTGTAATTCACCCTACATCTCTTCTTCTAAACATTTGTAAAAGAGCAATTTGTGACTGAATCGTTTTTTGAGACTAATCTTTTAAATGATTCAATTTACAAGACCACTCACTTAAATCAGTGGTTCTTAATCTTTTTGACTCCAAGATAGTATTCAAGTAGTTATGGTGTAATAAAAATAATAATTTTTAGTCTTTTTTAGTCTTTTAATAAAACATTACAATTATTTATTATTTCTTAAAATTTATTAAGATGTCTCTTTCATTTTTATTTTTTTAGCATTTTAATTAAGATTATGTTAATAAAACTTTAGGAGTTTTAACATCTACATTTGGCAGACGCTTTTATCCAAAGCAACTTGCATTGCATTCAAGGTACACATTTCTTTATCGATTCTTTGCTGGAATTTAAACCCATTCACATAAATGTAGTTGTATAGACTACTTTTACAGCTTTTTATGGTTCTTTTGCACCCTTAAAAGACAGAAAGTCATTGTGCTTTTCTTTTTTGGGTGAACTAATCCTTTAAGAGTGAATAGAGCGAGCTGCCTACTCAACTTCTCCCCATCCATTCTCTGTCATCTGCTTCCCAGCCTGTGTTTGTTGCTGCTGCCAACCACCCAACTGGTGATGGACTCCTTCTGCACAGCTCCTTGTGTGCGAGTGGTTGGTGCGAGTGGCACATACTGTGGAGATTTGAGCCAGCTCGTTGTGTTTACCACACACTGACTGTTAAATATATCCCCAGCTATGTGAAGAGTTGAGGGAGGCCTGGCAATGAAAGTGGCACCTGCTTCTTATCACCGCGCCGTTTTCTGCTGGGACTAAAACCTCTCCAGAGGCAAATAAAGGCATGTTTGCAGGCTCGAGTGCGCCACTGATATGTGCCGCATTTATAGGGTTGGCATTTGTGAGCCTGGCGGCTGGTCAAGTCTGCCGAGTCGGGTCAGGGAAACAATACGCACTATTTTAAAGAGTTGATGTAAATGAGACTAATACATCTGATAACTGGTTGTGTAATTGGCATCTGCGGTTGCTCCAGCGCAACCACATCAGTTGAATGCATAGTCTAGTGGACAGCAGCAATTGGTCTCCACGGATAAAATGTACCATACCGTATCCAGTGCAAAAAGTATAGGACCCCCAAGATTTATTTAGATTCTGAACAGTTGCTCAGATAACAAAGAATCAGTAACAATGAACATGGAGGCACCTTATGATTAAAGTAAATCATTTAATTTATATTAATTGTTAGTTATTTAATTAATTTGAAAATATTCAATCAAATAATATTTCAAATAAATATAATTTGAAAATAAATAAAATAATGCGTAAAAGATTTTGCAATATTTTACTAACGTAATTTGAAAGTATGGATTTTTTAAATTATTTACATTTAATAATTATTCATTGAAATTTATTAATTAATTTGAAAATATACATTTCTAAAATTAAATAATTAATTTTAAATGAAAAATTCCAATTGCGAGAAACATGCAAATCCTGAATTTAGATCTATTTATATTATACCAATACAGTAGCGATTATAATATTTTTGGAAAAATATTTAAATTTGTAAATAATTTTTTTATTTATTATTAAACATTAAATTATTTTATATTAAATACATGTAATAATTATTATATATTGTTGTTAATTTCATTATGAGAAACCTGCAAATCCTGAAAATTGACCTGTTTAAAGTATATCAATAAAGTAGCAATTAAAATATTTGAATTCGTTAATTTTCCAATTTGTTATTTATCAAATTATTTGATATTAAATATGTACAATTATTATTATTTGTTTATTTTAATACCTGCAAATCCTGAATATAAATCTGATTATAGTATATTAATAAAGCAGCGACTAAAATATTTTAAAATGATATTAAATATATTGAAAATATTAGTTTTTTTATATTTTAAGTATATATATATATATATATATATATATATATATAAATATTTAGAAAGATCTGAAAATTGAGCAGTTTCACATGAAAGGGGCGACACATTTAACCCCAATCCCCCATACAATATGGATAACAATATTTCAAGTCTCAATAGACTTCCCTTGTGTTGTAGTGAGTTATAGAGTCAAGCGTTCATGTCCGGTGAATATGTAGTGTAAACCGTGGGATGCGACATCATCAATGAGCTCTTCAGGGGGTCTTTTCAGCACTCTGATAGCACATCAATGCTCCCATTTATGTGCCCTGATGATCTCTGTGTTAAAGAGGCAAGACCATCACCCTTCACTCAAACATGCGCTGCTGGGGATTGTGTACTTGCTGACAATGGGGAAACTGTATGTTACTGTACATGTGTGTGTGTATATATATATATATGCATAATTAGATTCAGTAGCGCAAAGACTCGCTGTCATCCTCGAGGCAAGAAGAGACCTTTACAAACCCCCTGGAGTTCTTCACTGTAATGCTGCGTGGCTTCGGTGGCAGTATGTTGCTGATGGTGATTATGATGACAGAGTATGCTAATTACAGTGTGGTTACCATAAGTACACACTAGCCTGACCCCGCATGTTTACCAGATGAGCAGTTCTAATGCTATAATTATTGTTTGGTGCAGATGCTGGGTGGAACGTCTCTCCCTGTCAATACCCTGGTAAAGATCAAGGAGGGACTCCTGAGGCAGAGGGAACTGGAGATTGACCGGTGAGTAAGCAAAGACACTTTTAGAGTGCTCATGAAGTTGTACACCAAGAATAAGATCATTTTTAGGTTGTGGGGTCAAATCAGCTGACAAATTGGGTTAGAATGGTCCAGAAACACTCAATTCAAGAATTATATATATTATAATCTATGTAATGTAATATGCAAATATATAAATATATGTTAATATGTATACTTGTAATATAAAATTTACATAATTCTAAAAATAAAATTATTTTGGTATATTTATTGTGATTATATATTTTATATTATTATAAATTTATTTTAAATTAATATATATGTTAAATTAATAGATTGCCACATTAAGTTGTACACAAAGAACAAGACCTTTTTCAGGATGTTGGGTGAAATATTTATTGAAATCAAATTATTATATTATATTATATATTATGTACAATTTACCTTAAAATACTTTAAAAATATATCATGTATGTTAAAATTATGTAATATATAATTATTTCACAAAATGTATTATGTTTTCATATATATATATATATATATATATAATCTAAATTAACAGATACGATATATTATTATATTCATTATTATATTATATTAAAAAAATATATAATATATTATTTCTCTAAATTTATTATAATTATATATTTTATTCTAAATTAATATAAATTCTACATTACCTATGTTTGTTTTCAAGTACTTTCCAGGCCTTGAATCCATATGTCTGAAATTCAAGTACTTTCAAGAAGCGTGGGAACCCTGATTAACAGATAATATTAATGTATAATTAACATATTAATTAATATATAATAATTAACATAATAATATTCAATATATAATGATAATAATGGACATTTTTATATATACATTAATATCTATATTTTATACATTTAATTTCCAATCAAATAACATGCTTTCAGTAAATCGCACGCCTCCTTGATAAACAAAGACATTTTTAGAGTGCTCAGTTAAGAATAAGACCATTTTTAGGTTGTTGGGTCAAATATTTATTCAAATGGGGTTAAAAGATGACCGTCTGATGCATGTAGACGTATTCCACCTATTAAAATAATCACTCACCCTAGCCAAAAAAAAGCCATGCCACTGCTTCTACGCATCATTTCCTGTCATCTCTCAACTGTCTGTGTCCAAACAAGGCCTATCTTGACCTCCCACGTAAACAAAGTAATGGAATCATCCATTTTTGTCTGTAGGTTTGTCATTAGCTCCTGTTTCCGGGGAGGGGCAGATGCTTCATTAATAGCGTTTCATTCATTTAACATGACATCGGCTGTGTTCGCGACTCTGACCCTGTAGTGATTGCTGTGACCTTGAGTGCTTGTAATTATAGTATCATTCCGTCAGCCGAAGTGTTGCTTTACTTTTAGGTGAGCTCTAACAGACGGGGCAGTGCCACAGACGCCACAGAGCAGACGGCCACTTATTTAGACACAAACGTACCGCATTTCCCTGCCAAGAATTACACATGAGGAAACACTTTTAGCTGGCCATCAGTCTGGTGTTGCTCAGGCTTCTACGTCACATGACAGTTTAGCTGTTTGCTTATATATTGCTCATTTACATTTTAGTTTACTTTATTAAAGGTGCTGTAAGCAATGTTTGGGAACTTCTTTTTTCACCCCCTCTTCTTCCAAATCCCTGCCCTACAAATATATTGCTGAAATCAGGAGAGAGGAGCAAAATTGTACCACAGACTAACTGACGATTGTTTATGAAAGTGAATATGGCAGTAAACCTGAATAATATTCAGAAATTGTCACACTCTCTGCATCCTGTTTCCCATATATGGACTGCTCCGTGAACATGCAACATGATTGACGGGTAGAAAGCATTTCAGAGTCTTCTGATTGTCTAAACCAGGGTTTTTTTTTTTTTTTAACTAGTGCTGTCAAACGATTAATCGCGATTAATCACATGCAAAATAAAAGTTTTTATTTACATAATAAAACACAGCTATATATTTTTCATGTGTAAAAACCCATTTATACTGTGTGAGGAATATATATATATATAATTTATATATATATATACATTTTCTGAAGTGTTTTATATATATATATATATATATATATAACACTTCAGACAATTTCTCTGAAATAATGTCTAATGATTTTAATAATTTTATTATTATTTTTATTCTGAATGTTTTTTTACACTTTTTCTCAGAAGTAACGTCATGTTCTTGGAATATGTTAATTCATATTATAATTATTGTACCTTTTTCAATTTGTATTTTATTATATTTTGTGTCTCAGAAATTTTTGGCCACATTTTTGTATATGTTTACAGAGTCTACGGTCATCACAGAGAAAGATGTTTTTCAGAACATCTAATTCAGTTATTTCCGTTGGAAAAAGGGACATTTTCCGAACAAATTGCTTGCAGCACCCTTAAAGGGATAGTTCACCCAAAAATGAAAATTTGATGT